AATTTAATCAAAATCGTTAGAGCCATTTTCGAGAAAATTGTAAAAATGTGTTTAGTCCATGATATAAAGTGCCACTTTCGGTTAGCAGATTTTGACGAAAAAGTTGCGGTAACATCTCAAGCATTTAAAAATCTTAAAAATGCAACTTCACTTTCGTATGACTTTTCGTTTTTGAGCTAGACCGTTAACACACACAGACCATTTTGCGGGACTTGTTTATTTCGGCTCAGGGGACCTCAAAACATGTATTTCAGTTGAAAACTCAGATTCGAAAATGTTCACGATCGCAATACTTTCTCTTTCCCCCTGTGGGTTCGGGGATAATAGAATAGGCCAATAGTGTTTAACCGCTTGTCGTAGAGGGCGACTAAAGGGGCAACTGCCCGTTGACATTATTACCTACTCTTTTCTATCATTGACCAATTACCTATCCTATCCTTCCTCCTTTACCCATCCATACCTCTCCACTGCTGCCTTGTGGGATAGAACAATGTTCAAAGGCTAAGGGAATCAACCCCTATAGAAAATCCTGGTCCTCTAAGTCTGGGAGTGGTCATAGGGCTAACAACCGTATACCGGTAAAAAACTATTGTTATGAAACAGGTACAAGAACTACCACGGTCACGACAATCGCGCGGGAAAGGACTACTAAAGCTGGCAACTTGGAATTTAAGAAGTTTGTACCAACCTGGAGCTAGTAAAGTGTTGGAGAGAGAGCTGCAGAGGTATAAGATGGAAATTGTGGCTTTACAGGAGATTAGATGGAAAGCAAAAGAAATAGTCAACCTGAAGGAACACACAGAGATTCAGAGCGGTACCACAGGGAGAAATAACTTGCTGGGGACGGGGGACAGGTTTCATTATCAAAAACTAAATTAAGCATGCCCTAATGAATATTAAGAACATAAATGAATGAATACGTTGCATTAGGATAAGAAGAAAATTCAATAATATATCCCTGATCAGCGCACACGCTCTGACAGAAATAAAGATGAAGAAGAAAAATATTTGTTTTATGGAGCACTAGAAGCAGCATATGATGCTATCCTATCATATCCAAGTATGACGCAAAAATTTTACTGGGTGATTTCAATGCCAAAATTCGAAAGGAAAGTGCTTTTATTCCTACCATTGGAAAATATAGCAAGCATGAAATAACATGCGAAAATGAAATCAGACTGATTGATTTTGCAACAGCTAGGGGACTTATAATAAGTAGTACATAAATATATCCACAAAGAAACTTGGATATCCCCAGATGGGAACACTAGAAATCAAATCGATCATGTCTTAATAGATGAAAGGCACAAATCACATATATTAGACGTCCGTAGTTTTAGAGACTGAATCATTTCTTGGTAGAAACTAAATACAAACAGAGGATATCTAACGTGTGCAAAAACAGAGGAGAGACCAGGAGAGTATTGAACGTGGATGGCCTAAAGAACAAGAGAATGAAAGAGGCATTTGAAAAAAAGGTCACTCAAAGATTAAATGAAAGCAATATAGAAGAGCATGCAGTTTAAGAGCGATGGCGGAAAATAAGGACAATGTTTAATGAGGTTGCTGTGGAAGTGATAGGATATAAACAGAGGAAAGAAAGAAACGAATGGTTTGATGAAGAATGTTTACAAGCAATTGGAGAGAGGAATGATGCGAGAGCCAAATATTTGAAGAGGACAACTAGAGCGACAGTGGAAAATTATATAATACAAAGAAAAAGAGTCAAAGAAATTTGTCGAAAGAAAAAGAGGGCTTGGGAAAGCAAAATCATAAAAGATATGCAACAACAGTATGTGGCAAAAGAAACTAGAAAATTTTACAAAGGAGTAAGAAATGCAAGGACCGGTTTCAAACCGCATCTAGACTATTGTAAAGATGAAAAAGGAAACTTGCTGGGATTGAGAAAAGATATATTAAATAGATGGACGGAATACTTTTCCGAATTATTAAATCAAGGAAACATACAACTGAGTAATGAAGAGGAAATGCATAGAAATAGAGAAAACATATGTGAGGAAGAGGAAATACCGCCGGAAAAAGAAGAAATAATTATGTCTTTAAAAAACAACAAATCACTGGGTGTGGATGAAATACCAGCAGAGCTACTAAAGAATGGAGGAGAAGAATTAACTAAGCAGCTCTACGACCTCATATATATGACTTGGATGCAGGAAACCATACCTGAAGAATGGAACACTGCAGTTCTATGTCCTATTTTTAAAAAGGGGGACAAGTTGAACTGTGATAACTACAGAGGAATAGAACTACTGCCAACTGTATCTAAAGTCCTTTCCATTGCTATTAGTAAGAGACTAGCATCATGGGGAGAAAGAAAAGCGGAGACTATCAATGTGGCTTCAGAAAAAAATAGGTCAACAGTGGATCACATCTTCACATCTGCTCTCACTAAATTTATTAACAACATCATGGCTTATATACATAAACAGGAATTTCTCAAACTTCAAGACAAACTAGGTAATTTTGACTTTATTTACACTGACAGCTCGAATAGCTCCTCAGGCGTTGGGAGCATCAGTTATATGTAAGGAATGATAACATATTTTTTCTCTTTTCTACTATGCAATAATTATTACTGCTGAATTGGTTGCAATACATAAAAGTTTAAATCTTATACAGCCCACTAAACAAAAAATGGTCATATGCACAGATTCTCTATCCGCCTTAATTAGTCTAAGAAATGTTTTCTCATCTAATATTATCATACAAAACATTCTTTACTCAATAAAGTCCGCAAATAGAAATAATATATCAGTATTTTTTGTATGGGTCCCTGGGCATTGCAGAATAGCCGGCAATGAATTGGCTGATTGAGCTGCCAGAAAAGCTATTACTGATGGAATACCTTATCGGGGAGTACTTGTCGACGATTTTATAACCAACATTAAACAGAAAATGAAGACAAAATGGGAACAGATATGGTCGATGTAACCGAAAATAAATTGAAGGAGATTAAGGGTGAAGCTTCCTCTTGGGCATCGTCAAATAGGAATAAGCGCACAGAGGAAGTAATTCTTACGTGCCTGTGTATAGATCATACACGCCTTACTCATGGATACCCGATGGCCCATGATTCTTCGCCAACGTGCCAAACCTGTGAGACTCCTCTGACAGAGAAACACCTTTTAACAGACTATCTTGTAATTTGACAAAGGTTCTATACATCATTTTACAGGACAATGCAAATGCAATTTTCTTTTCTGAAATGTTCTAAACTTGAAAATAGTATCTAATTCTCAATGAAAATAAGGCAATAATGACCCTAGTGGTTGAAGCCTTTAATTAAAAAAAAAAAAAAGGTTCTACTATCACCCCTTAACATATTTTTCTCTACTTACAGGACACCCTGTATAGGTAAGTGAAAGTAAAAAAATGTGCAATTTAAGCTGAAATGGCCAGAAAATGTAATTTTGATCAATATCGAATTTTAATATTTTATTCTACAGATTGTGAAATGGATAGATAATAGAGTTTGAAGTTTTTACACTATACAAAATTTACCCAGACTATTCCAGAATTATTTCAAATTCTGGCTTCTTTTTTTTTTAAGTTGTTATCAAAGAAAATTGGTGTCTTAATGGCATACAATTTTCATTTCTTGGTAGAGTACCAACTCCATCTTTGCTGGGTTGACTGATAATTGCATCTCAGTACACCACTTATTTATATTACCTGCAACCTGCATTCTTTTAGATAGATTGATGAAGAACTTACATTTAATGATCTGAGGATCGCTTCATCGCCAGCAAATGCTTGGGCATAATTTCCCGCATCCACTTGTCTTCATAAGAGTTACATAAAATTCTCATTTTATAAACTTTAATGACAGAATACAGGGGGGAAACAGGGAGGAGGGAGGGCTGACAGTTCAGTATTAATGATTTTGGAAAGTTCAGAAATTTATTCACTAGTTCATTAAGATCTGCAGTTTTCACAACCATTTCTTAAAGGTTTCTGGAAATAGCATATCAAAAGCATCCTCGTATTTTATTTTAAATGTTTCATCTTCATCTTTCAAACAATTTTTTAGTCAGGGCTCATAGTATCTTACTGTTAGAACTCCCTGGAATATTTTTTATAGATGTAGGTTCGAAGACCACTTTTTCCCTTTGAGAAAAACCACATAATTTTAATTTACATAAGAGGATCGAGATCTCAAGAGGTTGATGGAAAAACTCAAGTTTGAAGAAAACAAACAAGAAGCTTTAGGATAGTGGTGAGAAAGGCATCAAGAAATAAATTAGGGAAAGAATCTATGATAAAAGATGTTGAATTAGATTCTGAGTAGCGAATTTATATAGTAACAATGAAAAACAGAGGCAGAAGAGGTTTTTACACTGACTCACTTTATCTAAGAAATTTTATAATAAAGAAACCATTCATACAAGTGTCATTATATATCACCATTATTAACGTTGGTGTCAATCATGGTAACTTCAGAAATTGAAGCAGTGCAGTCCACATTGTCACCTGAAAAATCAATATGCCTCGATCTGTTGTGGCAAATAATATTGTGAACAAAAAAAAAATTAAATACATTTAAAAACAATCAATCTAACATTAAAAAATTAATTTACAATTAAATTTTCAAAACTTCACCCCTTATTTTCATTATTTTTTCTGATAAATCTATTAATCAGAAATGTGACAAATACGAAGTTGAATCATCTATGCTCAAGTGGTTTTCATTGCCTTCAATATTAAAAATTAACTGGAGTATAATAAGCTGTTTATACTGTATAATCAGTAGTACTGGAGCTCCAGTCATGACTTCTGTAGCAACAACAGTTTGTTTAGCTGTTTAAATTTCTGATACAAGATTTCAGAAAATTTCTGATGCCTACTCAGTTTTCAGAAAACTCAGATATTTTTATAAAATTCACTCAGCCCCCTCATGTTTCTTACAACAGAGTATACTTAACTTAGTCAACGAGAAAATTAACTTAGGTTATAATTTTAAAAATAAAAAATATATTTACCTCAATTCCGGGCAATTTAGCCTCATAATCAAATCCACAATAAAGTTGCAGGGAGTCTGCTTTATAATATAGCTTGATTCTAAGATTTTTAAATCCATAAATTGATTCCCTAAAAAATTTCTTTCAATTAACTTTTTGTTTTTCCCAATTACCTACTGCCTTGCCATTTCTAGCATAGGGAGGAAACAGGTTGTTCTAGAGGTACAACTAAACCTATTCTAAGAAAAGTGAGAAGGTTGAGATTTATTCTATGGTTCTTCCAAAAAATAAATTTCAACCTACCCTGGCCAAATTCAAATTGGCAGAGCTAGACTTGAGAATGTTAAAGCGGGCAATGCTCTAACAAGCTCAGCCTTAATAGTCTCTTCGTTTTATTAACCATCTAATACAAATATTACCAGAGGACTAACATATTGAAAGGGAGTAGAAGGTTTCTTTTTATTTTCCTATATGGGATATGAATGAGATACAAAATCCAAATTTTCGACTTCGGCCCTCCCCTCCTCCCGGATTTCTTTTGAATATCCCAAAAACTGCTATATTTTCAACAAAAAACATTCTATAAATATTTAAACTAGATTAAATATGAAATGAAATGAAATGAAAAAATATTTTATTATTCTGGGACTGTTGTCCTTTTAGAACAAAATATAAATACAGATTGTATGTCTGTGTGGTTACAATTAGATTGTATATTTACAATAAGAGTTGACTAAAGATAAAAATACTGAAAAGAGAAAGAAAAGAACAAGAAAATTGTACATATATATGAGAAACTAAAATAACCTAAATAAATCGAGGTAGTCTCTGGCGGTTCTTAGATATTTCTCTTAAGTATATTTCACAATCAGTCGGATTGAGAAAGGAGTAGGTGCTTAAAGAGGAGAGGTTTGAAAGAAGAAACTGATTGAGCGTGTTGAATATCAGCAGGGATGGAATTCCAGAGGGAGGGGGCTTGTATTGCAAAGGATTTGTCAAACGCAGCAGTTCGGTGAGGAGGAGGATAGAGATCGGAAGTACGAGATCTAGTGGGACGGGATTGGATGGAGTATTTGAATTGTAAACTGTGAAAAATATAGGAGGGTCGATGAGTTCTAATGATTTGGTACAGAAAGGTGGCTAGGAAGTACTGATGGTGATAGGATGGGTAGAGCCACCTCAACTCAGTGTAATACTGGGTAGTATGCGTATCCCTTGAGATTCTGAAAACAAATCGTAGTGCGCAATTAATTAGGCATTTAAGTTTGGCCTCGGAATCTCCCGAGAGTCCACCGTACACCATACAGCCATAGTCAAAGTGGAGGAAAACAAGGGAGGAAACTAGGAGTTGACGGGACTTATATGGAAGGAGATATCGCAGACGATTGAAATGTTTTAGGGTGGAGATAGTGCGACGGGAAATTTGGGAGATGTGTGGTTTCCAGGATAGGGTTTGATCAAAAGTAACACCTAGGTTTTTAACAGTGATGTGGAATAAGATAGGTGAGTTGTTCAGGAGGAGATTGGGAGATACCGGAGAGGATTTGAGGAGTGAGGGGGATCCGATCAAGATGGCTTTTGTCTTCTCGGCGTTCAGAGTGAGCCTATTGAGGTTTGCCCAAGCACTTATTCTGTCAATGTCTTCCTGAAGTTTTAGAGTGGCATCTGAGATATCTGTCGGATTAAAGGAGAGGTAAATTTGAATGTCGTCGGCATACAGGTGGTATTGACAGTGCAGGATAGAGGATGGGAGGTCATTTATATAGATGGAGAAAAGGGTGGGGGATAAGGAATAGCCTTTTGGGATGTCTCTTGTCAGAGGTGGAGATTCTGATGGGGGGTTATTAGGAATTACAACATACTGGGAGCGACCGGTAAGGAAGGATTGGAACCAATTAAGGGAACTAGAAGAAAAAGAGATATTTTTAAGTTTGGTTAGGAGGATGTTGTGGTCTACTGAATCAAAAGCTTTGGAGAAGTCTAGGAGAATAAGGATGGTTAGTTTCTGCTGACCTATGGCTGTGTGAAGGTCTTGGGAAATTTTGATTAGGGCAGACTGAGTAGAATAACCAGGCCTGAAACCGGACTGGTAGGGATTTAGGAGATTATTGTCCTCTAAAAAATGGGATAGCTGGGCTTGGACTAACCGCTCTAAAGGTGGTTGCAAGAGGGCAGGAGACAAAGTGAGCGTTGAGGTTATCAACAGCCAAGGTTACCAATCGTCAGTTTTCTAAGAATAGTCCACGTAGCCTTGGTATTAGGAGAGTTGGATAGGGAATGATGGCAGTAACGGGATTTAGCACGGTGTACTGCTGATTGAGTGCTGTTTCGAAGCTGTTTGTAGGAGAGAAAATCATCAGGAAGTCGAGTTCGTTCAAACCGTCGTCTTGCAGCATCTCTTTCTTTCATAGACTCCCTCAAAGTAGGAGTAAGCCAAGGAGCTGGAGGATATCGGATGGTTTTTGTGATAAGAGGAGTATGTCGGTCGAGGATAGAGTGAAGTTGAGTGATAAGGGTTTCTACCATGGTGTCTATGGATTTTGAGGAGTAGATGGGATCCCACTGGATATCACCAAGATCTTCTGACAATGTTTCGTGAGTGAGAGAATATAGGTTTCGGAAGGATATTGTTCGGGGAGAAAAGGATGGGACAGGGATATTGTAAGAGATCACGACAAGATCGTGGGAAGATAGAAACGGGACCGGGTGCTGAGATGTGGCAAGGAGTTTGTCTGAGGAATCTAGGATAATTAGATCGAGCCAGGACTTTGAGTACTGAGTATGATGGGTTGGATTGTAGGGTACTATGTAAAGGCTGAGAGAATGAAAGAGGTTTATTAGGTAAGAATGATCGGAGGATGGTGCCAGTAAATTGGTGTTAAAGTCTCCGGAGAGGATGATATTTGAGTAGAAAGGGATTAAGTTGTACAATGAAGTCTCAAGTGATTCATCAAAAGGAATTCTAGGAAGGCGGTATATTACAGCAAACAGAATGGCAGATAAGGTTGTGAGGATTTCGGCGAAGAGGTATTCAACCTGCGGAGAATCGGTTATGGAAGAGATTTTGGATTTGAGACTGTCATGAACAAAGAGACCTACTCCACCACCCGTGCGATCTACTCTGTCATGACGAAGGAGAGTATTGTTAGGTAGAAGGATCTGGGAGGACGGGATTGTGGGTTTCAACCAGGTTTCGGATACGGCAATTAAATGGTAGAAGTTATGGAGAGAAAAGTCGTAAAATTCATCAAAATGGGCTAGGAGTGACTGAGCGTTGACATGGCAGGTTAAAAGGATATTAGTCATTGAAGAAGGAGGGGTGGCTTGGTAAACGGACAGAAGGAGTTAAGAATAGGAACATTTCTATAGTAGCTAGAGCCAATATGAGCCCAGAGACCATAACTATTGATAATGTCTCTATTGAGAGAAACAATAAGTATGCAAGATTTCCTAGATATTAATAAAGATGGCAAACAAAAAATATAAAATTTAGTTAACGAAAAGCATGTTCCAATTGTGAAAAAGAAAAAAAAATACATAAATTAGAATTTCTAAACAGATCAAACCTAGAATGTTCTCATAAACAAAAATGAAATTATTATCATAGTATATTATTAAAACAAACGCAAAAAAAACATATACCTAGAAGATTTTATAGAAGATATAAAAAAGTAAAAACAAGATTGTTCAAAGTAATGTAATATGTGTATGCATGTCAAGCAAACGTGTCTAAGTCTGATGGTGAGTTGATGATGACGACCTGCTGTCCATCATCTCGTTGACATTTCACCTTGCCTGCACTAAACCAGCTGTACCTGATTTTTCCTGCAGACCTCTTTTGCCGGGCCAATCAGTAGAAGTGTCTGTTGGATACGGACATAGCTTCGCTTAGGTAGATCTTGTGGGAGTCATTTTCTTGCCATCCGTGGTGAAGTGTTGACAAATCCCTTATAACTTTTCGCAATAACAAAACAAAATAACAAAACTTTTTTCAATTATGTCATACGTTTTAATCATAACATATGTGATTAATGTAGCATCTAGTTGCAGGCTCCTAGATTATTCCTGCTGTTTCCAACACCTTCCCTCCACATCACTATAAATTGCATATCATTCATTGTATTCCTTGTGGCTATATATTAAAAATAAGGCAATGTTCCAACAAAAAAAAGTGGACGCACTGCCCCAAAATGGCGTCCAAACATGGCTGAGTAACGACTTAGACTTGAGTTAGTTTTTCGGTCACTGAGATTCAGCAGTTGGCTTAATTTCATCATAATTGGTCATTTATTAAAGACGGATAGTCAGAGAAGTCGTTCAAACTAAAGTTTAAAATCAAGTATCACTGATCAATTTTTAATATATCTGAAACAGGTCTTTAGAAAATGGACTTAATCAGCGGAAAAGTGGCACTGGCGTAGGCACCTACAAAAAAGATCGAACACAATAAATGACTTCGGTCATTCTAGCTCACTTATTTTATCAATTATTTATAGCCATTTCTATATGCAAATACCCTACTCCTTCATAATAATAACTTAAATAAATGTTTACTTCACTAACTCTTATAAGGCAGATTATTGAAGAGGTAAACATGAAATTAGCATAACATTTTCAATTTTCAAAAATTGTATTCACATAATTTACTATTTTGGTATGCACTAGTTGTAAATGTTGGTTAAATATTTTTTTCTATTTCAATTTTAGTCTTCTGGTTTTGAAAAGTAATCACTCCCTCTCACACCAAACCTCCACTCCTCCCTCACCTCTCCTTCAAAATATTAAAATGAATAAAAATTTACTTCACTGAATCATATAAGACAGTTTATTGAAGTGCAAACAAGTGCATATGATTAAACAGGAAAAATAGCTTAAACTTTTCAAGTTCAAAAATTTTCTAAAATTTGAAAATCTGTATCTCGTTAACTATTTGATTTACCGAGCCTGTTCTGGTGTCAAATTGTAGCATATTTAATCTAGTTTAAAAAAGTATAGATGGGTTTTTGTCAAAAACTTGCTCTTTTATGGATAAAATGAGGAAAACCGAAAAAAGTGCGATATGGGTTACGCATTGGGTTTGGCAGTTTTGGGGATATACAAAGGTGATCAGGGGGAGCGCTGAGGTCGAAA